TGTAGATATATATATATATCTACATACATATTACTAACATAATAAAAAATAGTGATATATATATCACTATTTTTTCTTATTTTACCGTTAAGAGAGTTATGTTTTTAATAAAAGTAACATAAATTTTTAATTTTTATCATCATTCATCAGAATGAAACATACTATAAAATAAAACAAACAAAAATATGACAACAAAGGCTTTTAATACCAAATATTCTGATGATAAGGTATGTAACTTCATTCATCAGAAAAGCTTTATTTATCATAATAAATATTTATTTCAAAGTTTGCTTATGTTTTAATAACATATGTATTTTTTTTTTAATATTGTTACAATGATGTAAAAACAAAACACATCAATAGATTACATAATGAGAATATTCTGCACAAATAAAAATATTTTAAATGGATTTATGAAAATACTTTTAAAGTAAAAGAACACTACAACTATCAAAAAATGATGAGTTTTTATTAGATGTCACTATGTTTTCAGATACATAAAAGATACAGTTTGAATAAACTGTAATATCATAAAACAAATTTAACTTCATAAAAACAAATTTTGAAAAAATTATAACATAACATTCAAAAATATTTTATCACTCCTAGAAGATATATGATGAAGTATTAAACTAATGTATTATAAAAAATGATTTTTTTTTAAAGATGAATTTTGTGAATAATGGGATGAAAATGTGAAGATGATGACTACAAAAATGTAATGTTTAAAAATAACTTTACAACTACTTGACTATATGAATAATTGAAAATTTCACAGTGACAAAGTTGAATTTCTACAATTCCTATGGTGTTTTCTGTGATCCTTTCTTTCCAATGAGAGATTTGTGGATATGTGGAATGACACCTGAAAATATAATTACAATAATGATCAGAAATATATAATTTATGAATATAGTTTAGATGTTTATCGAAGTTACAACTTAAAACACATTTGCTTAGGTACAAAGTACAAAAAGTAACTAAATTATATATTATAGTTCTAATTAAATTCATAAAAATTTCCATTAAGATTTTTACTGTAAATTTTTTAAATTTACTAAGCTATTAAAAAATGGTTAACTGTTGAGCTATTATTGAGTCAAATACTACTCTGTTCAAAAAATATTGGGAATGGTTTATTAAACTGCACACATGCAAGAGGGCATTGTCATCACTTTTTCATTGACATCTAGCAGCAATCTGTGTTATCTGGCTTCATTTGCAAATAAATAAATGCTTGTTTTGTGTGTAAAGGACTTTTACACTAGCGATTTTTCAGAATGTTGAGTATAATTGAACAAAGAACATACATTAAATTTTGTTTTTGTAATGGAATTACTGCTATAAAAACATTAAAAATATTGAAATCACCTTTGAACAAAAGTGATACAAGATATTGAATATCTTGTATCACTTTTGTTTTTGATAGACACTGGTCTATCAAAAACAAAAGTGATACAAGATGATTAAGGAAGGCAGAGAATGCATCAAAGATGAACCATATTCCTGTAGATATACTTCAACTGATAAACATGTTCAAGTCAGAAATTTGATGCTCAACAATCATCATTTAACAATTAAAGACAATATTGAATAAGTTCCAGTATCATTTGGATCTTGTCAAACAATTTTAAAAGATCATTTTAGCTTGTGGCACATTGCTTCTTGAGTCTCCTAAAAACATTGGATTTTTTGTAAAATCAACAAGTTCCAGTGGCCAAGGAAATGCTTTCTCTAGGTTAACCATTCTTAAAATGCATCATTACAGGTGATAAAACATAAATCTCCATTTTGATACTGAAACAGCTCAACAATCAAGTGAATGGTGTTTGAAAGGTGAAGCAAGACCAAAAAGATCACATCAAAGTTGTGTTGACTATTTCTTTGACTGTCGTGCATCTCAAATTCCTTCTGATAGGCCAAATTGTCAACAAAGAATATTATTTGAGAGTTTTGTATCATTTAAGTAAAGCAGTTCATAGAAAACCTCATCTGTGGTAAGAAAACTTGTGAATTTTTGCACTATAATGTATGTACCTTACCTATTCACGATGATCTTGTTGTTCGTGAATTTTTGGCTAAAAATTTAACAAATACAGTTCTGCAAGCTCCAGATTCATCTGATATAGTACCATGTAACTTTTTCCTATTTCCTCAACTAAAATTTCCATTTTGTGTTCACTGTTTTGAGTTGATTGATGCTATAAAACAAAATTCACTGAGTCCTAAAGTGGTTTTGTGAAAATTATAAAGCATATTTCAAGGATTGGAATATTGCTTGTGTATTTTTTTAACATTTGCATGAAATTGCAAGATGTAATCAGCATCTTTCTATTAAGATCCAAATATATTGAAAAAAATTTGATATAATGTCCTTTTTTCATAAATTCCTTAAAGATCACTATAAAGCAAGTCTACTATATACTGTATAATGTAGAATTTCTTTACTTATACATACATAGTTACAACATTGAAAAACTTTGTATAAAAAAGGAAAAATTTAATAGTTTTTTAGAAACTCTCAAATAATTCATCAGTTTATGCATTTAACTAAAGAATGAATGTTTTAATGCAATCAAAAAATTTAATATTTGTATATATTAATACAGTAATGTGTTTTAAATTATAAATAACTCCAAATCTTGTAAGAAGTTGAAAATACTTGAGAAGTTAATAAAAAAAACCTATTTAATTCGGGTAACAATTTTTATTTTAATAACTAAGAAAAATGTTTTCACTTACCACCACCAGCTATAGTGGCTTTTATAAGAGAATCCAACTCTTCGTCCCCACGAATTGCTAACTGAAGATGACGAGGAGTAATTCTCTTCACTTTCAGATCCTTACTCGCATTGCCTGCCAATTCTAAAACCTTTAAATATAAAAATTTTCCAATATTTAATTTTTCAACAAATACATTTATTTAATATAAACATTAAAATGGTAAAACATATTACATTTATTTACTTTGCTATTTTTGTTAAAATTATATTATTTTTTAATATAACATGTAAAAAAACAACTTTGCTAAATAAGTAACATAGCCTCAAAATTTAATGATATAAACTAGTAATAAGCAACCTTTTTTGGATGCAGGCCACAAGCAAACTTAGGCTTGTAATAGTCACATGCATTTTTCTTAAAAGTTGCAAGCTTTATTAAGCCTAGTGAGTACCAACATGATACATAAAAATATACTAGGTACTAAAATAATATATACTAGTGATATGCAAATTAATATTACAGTTGAACTCGATTAAAATGAACACAGATATAATGAGCAAAATGACAACTTTAATTTGCATACATTTTCTCATCGTTATAATGAGGGTACTTCACAGATATATCAAGCAAATTTTCAGTAGCTATGCAAAAACACAAGCATTCTTAATTGTTCAAGTAGCAAGAAATGCAATACCAAATTCTTGGAAGAGATAAAACTGAAAGGGTTACTTAGTTTTAACTACTGGATACTTAGTTTTACAATCTGCATCAATTACAGACCTATTTATCATTTAACTCACTTTTTGGAGACTGCCCCCTCTTTCTTGACTAATCAGTGGTGTAGCTATAAACTTTGCCACCAGTGGGTGCAAAATTTATAGCTACATTTGGGTGCAAACATAAACTTTGCTTTGCACCCAAAGTAGCCACCCACTTTCCCTTCTAATTATATCACTGCTCTTCACAGATACAAGTAAATATTGCTGGTCCCCTAATGCTTGGTATAACAGAGTTCAACTGTATATACAGTGAATGATTGGTTAATGAACATACAATGGTACCTCAGGATACGAACGCCCCAGCATACGAACTTTTCAAGATATGACATGAAATTCGAACATATTTTTGCTCCACGGTACGAACAAAAACTCACCANAAATTATAAAGTTATTCATAACACAAACTTCTATATTTTTCACAATACTATACAGTAATTCAAATATGATGTCACCAATTTTATGTCTGCCTATCTCCTCTCTGTCACATTTTGTCACCAGTTTTTAGACATCTCCTATGCTGATGTCATGCTTGATCTGCCATCCTGTTATTAAAATCAATCATTTTTGTAAAACAGATCTATAGTACATTAATTTATTTATAAATTATTTCATGCCAAGGGAAGACTAATTTTAAAAATAGAACAATAAAAAAAATTCACTGATTTACCACAGAAGTCTAATGACATTGTACTAAATAATTACCTCCTAGACTACTGGTATATCTTTCAACAGTACTATTGTATGTAATTTATATCCATAAAGGTTAAAATGTTGCCATTATCTTTTCATAAAAAAGTAATTTGAATATTGTATTACTTTGCAGTGACATATTACATGTGAATGGTTCCATATAATATTTAAATTAATTCTACATCAACAAAAAATTCTTAAGGGGCTGTCCATAAATGACATCCACATTGGAAGGGAGAGAGAGGGTTATGATAAGTCAAACAAGTGGGAGAAAAAGGGTTGAACTTCAACAGATGTCCGTTTTATTTCATTAAATTTTATACAGTTTATACATTTTATTATTCATAAAGTGATAAAGGTTTTGAAGGAGGTTGAGTTTTGTTGGACATCTGAAGAGGGGAGGGGTTACAGAAACTGGGACAATGGGGGAGGGGAGTAAAAATTTCAAGAAAAATATGGAAGCAATTTATGGAGTTCAACCACTATTTTATTTCAAACAATCCTGTTTATTCTTGTTAATTTCTTTACGATTCCTATCATTAATTAAACAAATGCATTTTTCACTGGATAATGTATAAATTTAAGTAGCATTTTAGATAAAAGTAATTTTTCTACATTGATAAGCAAAGAAATATAACACTTAATAGTAAGAATTATAAATTAATCATATTTACACCCACATTTTTACGATTTGATTTTTATTAAGCAAACAAATTCTAATCAAAGGAGCTCAATATAGTTTGCTTTTTAAGACACTTAAAATTTTTACTTAGCATTGCAAAACTGAATACATTCCAAAAGTTTAGTAAGAAGATATAAATACGTTAAAACACAGTTATTTATAAAACATTAATAATTTGTTTTATTAAGGATTGAAATCTATCATTAAAAAACTGAAACGTTCTTTTTGATAATTACTTACAATAATTAAGCAGACAATACTTTAGACTAATTAATGGTAGAATAATGTTATACGAAAGATAACCCACATTTTTAAATAGTTATCGATTATGCTGTGTATTTAACATAGACAAATTGATTTCTAGAAATATCAATGCACAATTTTCTATATATAAATGTTTATAAATATGAATCTGTTACATTCTGCCATACTTACAATACTAACACTTGCTCTTTTTAACTCTTTATTCTCTTCCTGTAGAGTTTTAACTCTCATCTTGCAAGTCTCTAGTTCAATTTTCATCACACGAATCTGCTGTTGAAGGGATTCGATCCTATTTTGATATTGTTCACGAGTTAAAGGGGAAGGAATCTCTAAAGATTCACTCTCGCTATCCGCCATCTTGGATTCTGTTAGGCCTAAATATTCTTAAGTTCTTCCTCTCGTAAATTCACAGATAAGACGGCTCAAAAGTTATAAAATTCGATTGAATGATTATATATATATTATCCTAATTTCTTTAACTCCATATAAAACTATAATTTCTGGTCGAATAAAATGAAAGCAGACGATCTTAACGTCCCGCCATCGTTACCGATTATGATTGGTAGCTCTCAAACTTTAAAGCGACACCTTAAAAACCAGTTAGTTTCTTTCCGTATTATACATTAATTAATTTTACATTTAGTTACTTTTTATAGTTATTATTTTAAATTAATCGGGGTATATTTTTATTAAAATTAAAAAATTAAACTGATTTGTTTAAAATTATTTTGAAAAAATTATTGCGTAATGTTTTTGAACTTTTACTAAACGCATCGGCCTTCATTTAATAATAAAATTGACATAATTTATAGCCTTATTTTCACTTCCTGATATTTAATAATTCGAATTATGATGATAAATAAGAATTTTGAAGTTTTCCCGGAATTTCTAACAAAGAAATATTAAAACAAAAACTTTAATTCAAATCATGTTTTTAAATTAATCCTCGTGACCTTTCCATGAGCAAACTATTCTTATATTTATACATAGGCCTATAGTTTAAAAGAAAAAAAATTATCAAGTGATATTAATTTAAATAATTTGATTAATTTTGCTTTCCATTCTTATATGAGGAATCCAATTTTTTTTTTCCAAATAACACTATGCTTACAATATTAAATCAGTTGTAAAAATTATTCCATTTTCAAATTATACTTGGTCGGATGCACGACTGAAAATGGAATTAAATAAAGTCCGTATAACTAGACAAACTCCTTTTTTGAGAATTTATCTAATTACACAACTAATTCAATTTTAGATTCCTTGAAATAATTGTTAGGATAAATTTAATGATTGTAATGAAATGGTAGAACGTTTGACACAGTAGTAATAAAATCTGCAAAGGATCTGTAAATTTGGATATACACACATTCCACTAAATTATTAATTTAACTAGCACCATATTCCATCATTATACACTACTATTGATAAATATGAAATTAATGGTTTTATGCAAAACTAACAATAAGACAAAATTATTGAAGTATTTATGGTAGATTTAACCTTATATTGCGAACTTTAATTCTGTAACTGTTGAAACATAGAATTCCATATGGTTATCTCAGAATTAAAAAATCCTTTTTTGGAAGAAAAAATCAGAGAAATCCTAAAATAACCAAATTGATATTATTATAAAACTGTTATTACAAGCCATATATCCTGATTATTTTAATTAATTAATGGAATATATATATTAAATCAAAAGGTAATTATTTGACTTATTTCAAAGGATTAATTAATATATATTAAAAGTTTTGTAATATGATTTTTAATTATATGATTAAGACTTACAAAAATTCTACTTTTAATTGATTACAAATGTAGAAATCTTTGTACAGAAATGTATTACTAAAATTTTAATCTTATATTTTAGGTAATTGTTTTTGTTCAAACATAAATCAAATACCAGATCTAATATCTGGCTTAAAATAAAAATATTCCAAATTAAAGTTAAATAGCATTTTTAGCAGAAGGCAGACTTCGCAATAAACAAATCCCTAAAATTGGTTCAGAAAGAACAAACTCTACACAGTTTTAATTATTCAAGAAATTTTTGCAGGTATACAAGTTTCATTTTCTCTCCAATACATAAGTATGAGTATATTATGAATAAAACACTGAAAATTATAGATGTATTGCTTGATATAATTTGATAATATTGAGAAAATGGATTGAAAAAGTTTTAAAATTTGTAAAATATTTTATTTAATATAAATTTATTAGCTTTTGGCTTTAACTAAGCAAATTATATACTAAATAGTCAAAATAGTGATATATATATCACTATTTTTTCTTATTTTACCGTTAAGAGAGTTATGTTTTTAATAAAAGTAACATAAATTTTTAATTTTTATCATCATTCATCAGAATGAAACATACTATAAAATAAAACAAACAAAAATATGACAACAAAGGCTTTTAATACCAAATATTCTGATGATAAGGTATGTAACTTCATTCATCAGAAAAGCTTTATTTATCATAATAAATATTTATTTCAAAGTTTGCTTATGTTTTAATAACATATGTATTTTTTTTTTAATATTGTTACAATGATGTAAAAACAAAACACATCAATAGATTACATAATGAGAATATTCTGCACAAATAAAAATATTTTAAATGGATTTATGAAAATACTTTTAAAGTAAAAGAACACTACAACTATCAAAAAATGATGAGTTTTTATTAGATGTCACTATGTTTTCAGATACATAAAAGATACAGTTTGAATAAACTGTAATATCATAAAACAAATTTAACTTCATAAAAACAAATTTTGAAAAAATTATAACATAACATTCAAAAATATTTTATCACTCCTAGAAGATATATGATGAAGTATTAAACTAATGTATTATAAAAAATGATTTTTTTTTAAAGATGAATTTTGTGAATAATGGGATGAAAATGTGAAGATGATGACTACAAAAATGTAATGTTTAAAAATAACTTTACAACTACTTGACTATATGAATAATTGAAAATTTCACAGTGACAAAGTTGAATTTCTACAATTCCTATGGTGTTTTCTGTGATCCTTTCTTTCCAATGAGAGATTTGTGGATATGTGGAATGACACCTGAAAATATAATTACAATAATGATCAGAAATATATAATTTATGAATATAGTTTAGATGTTTATCGAAGTTACAACTTAAAACACATTTGCTTAGGTACAAAGTACAAAAAGTAACTAAATTATATATTATAGTTCTAATTAAATTCATAAAAATTTCCATTAAGATTTTTACTGTAAATTTTTTAAATTTACTAAGCTATTAAAAAATGGTTAACTGTTGAGCTATTATTGAGTCAAATACTACTCTGTTCAAAAAATATTGGGAATGGTTTATTAAACTGCACACATGCAAGAGGGCATTGTCATCACTTTTTCATTGACATCTAGCAGCAATCTGTGTTATCTGGCTTCATTTGCAAATAAATAAATGCTTGTTTTGTGTGTAAAGGACTTTTACACTAGCGATTTTTCAGAATGTTGAGTATAATTGAACAAAGAACATACATTAAATTTTGTTTTTGTAATGGAATTACTGCTATAAAAACATTAAAAATATTGAAATCACCTTTGAACAAAAGTGATACAAGATATTGAATATCTTGTATCACTTTTGTTTTTGATAGACACTGGTCTATCAAAAACAAAAGTGATACAAGATGATTAAGGAAGGCAGAGAATGCATCAAAGATGAACCATATTCCTGTAGATATACTTCAACTGATAAACATGTTCAAGTCAGAAATTTGATGCTCAACAATCATCATTTAACAATTAAAGACAATATTGAATAAGTTCCAGTATCATTTGGATCTTGTCAAACAATTTTAAAAGATCATTTTAGCTTGTGGCACATTGCTTCTTGAGTCTCCTAAAAACATTGGATTTTTTGTAAAATCAACAAGTTCCAGTGGCCAAGGAAATGCTTTCTCTAGGTTAACCATTCTTAAAATGCATCATTACAGGTGATAAAACATAAATCTCCATTTTGATACTGAAACAGCTCAACAATCAAGTGAATGGTGTTTGAAAGGTGAAGCAAGACCAAAAAGATCACATCAAAGTTGTGTTGACTATTTCTTTGACTGTCGTGCATCTCAAATTCCTTCTGATAGGCCAAATTGTCAACAAAGAATATTATTTGAGAGTTTTGTATCATTTAAGTAAAGCAGTTCATAGAAAACCTCATCTGTGGTAAGAAAACTTGTGAATTTTTGCACTATAATGTATGTACCTTACCTATTCACGATGATCTTGTTGTTCGTGAATTTTTGGCTAAAAATTTAACAAATACAGTTCTGCAAGCTCCAGATTCATCTGATATAGTACCATGTAACTTTTTCCTATTTCCTCAACTAAAATTTCCATTTTGTGTTCACTGTTTTGAGTTGATTGATGCTATAAAACAAAATTCACTGAGTCCTAAAGTGGTTTTGTGAAAATTATAAAGCATATTTCAAGGATTGGAATATTGCTTGTGTATTTTTTTAACATTTGCATGAAATTGCAAGATGTAATCAGCATCTTTCTATTAAGATCCAAATATATTGAAAAAAATTTGATATAATGTCCTTTTTTCATAAATTCCTTAAAGATCACTATAAAGCAAGTCTACTATATACTGTATAATGTAGAATTTCTTTACTTATACATACATAGTTACAACATTGAAAAACTTTGTATAAAAAAGGAAAAATTTAATAGTTTTTTAGAAACTCTCAAATAATTCATCAGTTTATGCATTTAACTAAAGAATGAATGTTTTAATGCAATCAAAAAATTTAATATTTGTATATATTAATACAGTAATGTGTTTTAAATTATAAATAACTCCAAATCTTGTAAGAAGTTGAAAATACTTGAGAAGTTAATAAAAAAAACCTATTTAATTCGGGTAACAATTTTTATTTTAATAACTAAGAAAAATGTTTTCACTTACCACCACCAGCTATAGTGGCTTTTATAAGAGAATCCAACTCTTCGTCCCCACGAATTGCTAACTGAAGATGACGAGGAGTAATTCTCTTCACTTTCAGATCCTTACTCGCATTGCCTGCCAATTCTAAAACCTTTAAATATAAAAATTTTCCAATATTTAATTTTTCAACAAATACATTTATTTAATATAAACATTAAAATGGTAAAACATATTACATTTATTTACTTTGCTATTTTTGTTAAAATTATATTATTTTTTAATATAACATGTAAAAAAACAACTTTGCTAAATAAGTAACATAGCCTCAAAATTTAATGATATAAACTAGTAATAAGCAACCTTTTTTGGNTTTAAAAACCCAGCGAAGCGGGTCCTTGCAGCTAGATTCTAGATTACTTAGAAAAACAGTCTTTTATATATATAAAAAACTATATTTCATACAAATGTACGAACAAATAAAAACCCAGCGAAGCGGGTCCTTGCAGCTAGTAAATAATAAACACACACATACATATATAACAAAAAATAATTGTACGTTAATTTTAAATTTTTCTTGATTGTTTTATTGTACAATATGTGTGGTTATTGTTAGGGGGTTGTAAGACTTTTCCTACTGTTTGTAAAATAAATAAATAAATAATTAAAATCAATTCCTTATTACAGTAGAGCCTGATTATCCAAACTAATTGGGAGTGTGCATAATAAATCACCTTAATATAAGTTTTGCACACTTACTCAACTGACATTCAAATGGAGTTTGGTCTTAACAAACACAAAACACTTGATGTAGAAAAAATAATTCTGAAATTTGAAGACATTTAGAAATGAAAACATCAATGAATTTATAGATGAAAGAAAAACCAAGAAATTTTTAAGATTTCAAAAGGCTAAGTTCAAAGAACCTGCACTCATCAAAGACTGACAAAAGAATACAACAACAGAATAAACTCAATAGTAACTACACAGTTGAATGCAAAACAAACATTTAAAGTAATCAAAAACCCATGTCATCCCAGTATATCAGTACTGGGATGACAGGGGTTTTTGATTACTTTAAATGTATGTTTTGCATTCAACTGTGTGTGATCCTTTTGAGTTATACATTGGACATACACAGAACTAGGACTACTCCAAAAGAAAACACAAACATTAAAATGAGCAATTATTTATTGTAACATTGTCACAATGTCAGGCTGCAATTTTTTATCATATTTTTAATTTATTTAATTTAAAATACAGTAGAGCGTCAATTTTCCGAAAGTCAATCATCTGAAAGAATTCCAGTCGGCAAATTTAAATTTTTGCCAGTGCTGAGGCGCTTCAATCTTTGGCTATGTCTTGGGCTACTCAAATATTTTACGTTTTTGATACTAAATTAACATCTGAAGTATAATTTTTTATTGTTTTTATATTTTTCAATATATTTATTTTGTTTGTACAAAATAAAAAAATAATTTTTAA